ATCCGAACAGAATTTTGGACAAGTGTTTGTTGGCAGAAGGGGAGCACTGTGGCAGTGGGTCTGGATCAGTCTAGAACACAGATAAAATCGACCACTTTTAAGAAACTAATGTTTAGCCTGGTGTGGTACTTGGGAGGCTGAGGCAGGAGGATCGCAAACCCGAGGCCAGCCTGGCTACATAATGAGATGCTATCTGAATAGGGAGGGAGAAAGGGTTGGGTTCAAGAAGAAATCCTACAGATAATTTTCCTAAGTGAAAAACATATTGTGCTTTCACGAGGAAAGACAATGTAGAAAGTACAAAGCAATGACGATGGTGGAAAGCTGGGAAGGGCATGTCATTTGGAGTAGGGGAGTCAGGGAAGGCACCCCGGGAAAGCACCAAAAGGTATGGGGTGAGCCTATGTGAGCTTTCAGAGGGGACATTCAGGAAGAGAGGCAAGTGCAGCTTGCCGGTGTTACAGGATGCTGCAGCTGATGGGTGGGAGCAGAGTGAAGAGAAGACAGGTTGTTTGAGAAGTGCTTGTGTGTGGGGGGAGGTACAGTGAAGGGGTACAGAACACTGGCATATGGGTAGGAAGCTACTGTAGAGTTTGTGAAAGTGTTAGTGTAATCTGGGCAATTTTTTTCCGATTGGGATGTGACTCATACAGAAAATTCTTCCTTTTGAACAATTCAGTGGTTTGGGGTACAGTCTCTATTGTTACTTTTAATTCCAAAATATTTGTCACATTCAAAACAAATCCTCAAACCCTTTGCATTCTAATGCCTCTCCACTACTTTCCTTTCCCTCTGTATATTTGCCTGCATTGGGTATTTCACGTACCTGGAATCACAGGACTTTTATGTCTGATTTAACTTACTTGGCTCTCTAGTGGACAGAATCTGGGACACAGTGGTGATACTCTAGCTGAGGGATGAGAGGGGATTAGAAGAAGATACTATGCTTTAAATGTGAAATGCTCCCCTACCCCGAAAAGCAGGATCATATATTTGAATACCTGATCTGCAGCTGCTGGAGGAGGTTACCAGCCTTTTGGATACACTACCTAATTGCAATATGCAGGATGGAGCTAGAGGAGCCTATTTTTTCCCCAAAGCAATAGACATCATTTTATATTTCAGTTGCTGATTATTTAATAGGTAAAATGTATCTACTGACCTAGGGTTCTCTGAGATCTCTGCTTCCTGGTCTGCCAAGAGCGGAGGATAATGCTCCAGCCACCATGAACACCACTGGCATGCCTTCCATGCCACAAGAGACTGTATCCTTTCAAGCTGTTAGGCAAAATTAACCCTCCCTTCCTTGAGCTGTTTCTGTTGGGTATTTTGTCACAAAAGAGAACCAAGGAGATGACTAACAGATGCCATGCACATGACACTCTGGAAGTGGGGTAAGGGAGAAAGAAAAGTCATGGGTAACTCCCAAGTGTTGGCATGAGCACCTAGACACAGAGTAATGTATCCCTGAGAGAGACAGTGGGAGGAAGCACCAAGGGCTGCATTTTGGAGACTGACAATTAAATTTCAGATATTGACTGCCCTCCTGGGGGAAGATGATTTTAAAAACAAAATCTGGCTGAGTCTGCAATTCAAAGTAAGGGCCTGTGTCAGAAATCTGAAGAACAGAAGGTGATTAATGCCATTCCAGATGACACGCCAAAAGAGGAAGTGACTGCAGAAGCAAGGAAATGTCCTTAGATTCTCTGGATACATCAACATCTACAGGTCAGAAAGATGAAGAGGAACCAGTAAAATACTAAGAAGAAATCACTCCTTAGGTTGCAGGAACAAAGAAGGGTGGGTTTTTAACAAACCCAAATGAACAGCTGATCACGGAGGAAGGCCCTACCTTCTAGGCCCGGTACTTTTGACAGGCCAATTAAGAAGACAGATAATTAACCTCAGACTTGGGAAGGTGGCAGCCATTCTCAGATCACAGGTCCTGTAACACCACATTGTTCACTCCGCTCCTGTTGCACCCAACACTGCATCTGTCATCTCACTGTCAGGCCTGCCTTCTCCAGATGTGGCTTTGAAAATAACAGTTTGAGTGGAGCAGGAAGGTCTAGGTCTGGCTGGAGTTTGTTCAGGAGGTCATGGTAAGAAAGGAAGTGATGACAGAGGTGGGTCTTTTAGCAAATTTTCCTATGTTGGAAGAAAATAGCTGTACTAACATGTAGGGTAAAGAAAGAAATTCTTAAGATTCGAGAAATAAAAGCTCTGAGGTGCCCCTGGGTCCTATGGAGTAAAGAGTGGGAGGTATGCCAAGGGAGACAGCAGAGAAATTCTGAGACTGGTTAGTGGGGACAGGAATAAATATATCTTTTCTGTTAAAGAACAACTAAAATGATACTGCTTTGGGAAAACAATAAGTAGTTTTTATTTTGTTTGTTATTTTTCTATGATGCACAGAAATCAGCACTTTCGGAGGCTGAAGATACTGGACAAAACTCTCTGTTTGCAATGCCTGGACAAGGATAAGATCTCGGAGTCAAGAAACCCTGGTGTCAATAACTGCAGGTTACATCCTCCAGACGTCATTTGATCTTAGGGTCACACGTAAAACAGTGACTAAAAGAGTCTGCCCCTTCTACATTATTGAACGGGTTTGACCATCAGATAAAATGCACATGCACCATCTGTAAAGCCATAGGTGTGATGCCCGTCAAGGGCACTGGTTGTTTTGACATACAAGGAGGAATTACATACTTAGTTTTCCCCAACATACTTCATATAGAAATATTCTAGGCCCAACAAGGGGGAAACAAAGCAAAATAAAATTTATAAGGATAAGTAATTAAGGCATAATAAAAAACTATAATCCTTTTGGTTATATACTATACTTAAAGCACATTTTAATAAGTTAAATATGAATGCTGCCTTCATTTATTACTTTATTTAAAAAAAAAACTCAACAATAACCAAAACCTTGTTAGTCCAGAGGATAGCCTCAGAGCCGTGTAGCAAGTTAGAGGCTAGCTAAGACCCTGCTGCAGGTAAAACAAAAACAAACAATAACAACAAAAAAGAAACTACCCTGTAGATTGGTCTGAGAATATCGGACAAACCCCCACTAGATTTGACTATAAGTCACTGGTGAGGTGATGCCTAAAACAGCTGTGAACGACGGCTGTCTCTAAGTCTTCTACTTGTCAGTCCCAGCCTCTTGCCAGCATCAATTCAAGCTTCGAGCAGAGTGTGGTGATGCACATGTTTAATCTCAGTATTGAGGTGCAGAGGCCTGAGGCGAGCAACTTCAGGTCCAGCATTAGCTACTGTGCCTTGTTGCAGTAAGTAAAAGCAAAAGAACAAAAACTTCCCTCAACCCCCATCCCAACAATTTCATTCCTACTGGGGGGACATTAAGAGCTAAAGAGGCTTACTTGCATTTGGCAATTAATTGTTAAATCTGTCTACTTGTCCATGGAACACAGTTCTCTTTATGGATATTTAAAGATATTTCAGTGTATTCTGGTTTTGGCATTAACTATCTCATTATTTCTTGGGGTAAACTAAGAAACAAAGGTGTGAGTTTAAAGATAAGGATCAATGAAGAGATACAAGCACACGTGGATACATAATATATGCAAGCATATATGTAAGTTTCACTTAGAATATGGAAGGTTTTATGTATTCCCTACTTGGTAAAGCAAATGGAGAATTCTAATTGTATACATTTGGCCTATAATTTACACAAAGGAATTTAGTTTTCCTCTCTCGTATTTTTCATAACATTTGTTTATATAAAACAGTGATACTGAGTGTTTAGCCAGAATTATAACTTACACTATAAACCGGTGTATATTGCCATTTAAATAAAATATAGAAATTTACTTTACAACAATCTATTTACCAGGTTTCTAGAAGCCAATCCCAATAAATGTGCAAGTCTGTCTCAAATTCCCCAAGTCACACATTTGTAGTAAGTGAATTTTTTAAAAAGTAGAATATGAAACAAGGCATGAGGGTGCACACCTTTAATCCCTGCACTGAGGAGGCAGAGACGTATGGATGGATCTCTGAGAGTTTGAGAATAGTCTGGATTCCATGGTGGGGCGGAATTCTAGGACAGCCTGAGCTACACAGAGAGACACTCTGTCTCAAGGTTAATACAATACAAAACAAACAACATGCAATTTCAAGCATTATTTTTTTGGAAGAGTATTTTGAAGAATTATTTCAGAAGAATAGCTTACCTTAATACATTCTTCTCATTAATGTTATTATAATTAACAGAATGCTTTATAAATCATATATTAACTAACTGCATCACTCAGAGTCATTATTAAGCGTGCACAGTGACAGAGCACATTATAAACTCCCTGTAGACTCATTATTTCCAGGGGAGCATGGAGCGGCTGGGCTGAGCAGAGTCAGCTATGCCAGGCTTTCTTGGGTGAGACTAAGATGATGCTTTCTTGGGTGATGTGTACCTCCCAGTTCTTGACAGATCTACCTGTTGCTAGTTCTATCAGCATGCTTGGGTCACATGAGCTTCCCTAACTCCATGTAGGTAAATATTTTTTTCATTCAGACAAAAATAAATAAATAAATAAATAAATAAATAAATAAATAAAAAGACGAACTGTAGAAAAACCCAGGATTTCAAAATAAAGAGACACCACACCCTGCTGCGTGGCTCTGGAGAAACTCAGAACTTCACTAACAATCTGTTTCCTTACCTGGACAACAAACGAACTGGCTTGAATGACCTTTAGGGTCTTCTCCAACTTAAATACCAGAAGCACATTATGATTTGTTCTCTGTGATATTCCATTGGATAAATCATGCTTATATAAGGGGAGGGAAATACATGAAACACCTCTGAAGAAAATTAAATATGATTCTTAATGCAATTTCATTACAAACATAAGAATTTACGAAGATTCTCTTTTAAATTTCAGTGCGAATAATTCCTTAATGAAAAATTTTGCTTCTGAACACATTTCCATTTGATATATCAACAAAATGATACTGCATACTAAAAATCAATTTACCTATAACTACATCATGACCGTCAACCAAGCCAGCAGAGAAGAGCTCCTGAGACACACCATCTGCTGTATCTGTCCAAATGTGAGATGAATATGTATTAGAAACCATAACATAAAATCAACAGCCCAGCACAATATAAAAATATCTTTCATTTACTAAAATCACCCACATGATTTTAATTCATCAATTCATATCCTATCAGAAAAAATTCAGCAACACCACGAAGTATATTTTACCACAAGCTATTTGTATTTTGATTTTTACTTAACAGATGTTACTATAAAAATATATATATATATTTTTTTACTTTGGTGAACCAAAAACCTTCCCCTTTGGCTACCATCTGAATTCATCCTCTGGCACACCCTAGAATACCTAAGGCTCTCTATGACATTGCTTTTCTTTCTTGCCAAGGTTAATTTTAGCCATCATCAATCCTTTTCAGTCATTCATAGCTACTGAGTTAAGAATTTATAGCAAAGGTTGAATGGGAAGAACCTGATCCAGCCTTATACTTGGTACAAACAGCCAGTGGGCTTGTTGGACTATTAAGATGAGCTATTTAAATGTCTGCTATTAAGAAACCCCTTTAACACAACATTGATCATTTGATAGCAACAGATTCATTCTCTTAGAAAATGTGGCTGTGTAAAATAATGTAGTTTCTCAATGATAAGTGACAGGAGTTGGCAATCTCATAAAGACGGGACTGAACAGGCTGCAGCAAGTGAATATAGCTAAAAATTACTTAATTGAGAGGTTATGAATGAGCATGGGAACACTGCTAACTTCTACTGAAAGACTTTTCAAGGAGGAACTGAAAATTGCAATATGCTCAAAAGAACTACTACAGAACCCTGTGTTATAATCAAGGAGATTATTTTGTCTCCACAGCCTTCTGATATTCTAAAAGACACCTAGTAGCACTGGCTACAAACAGCATGGGCAATTTAGTGAGGATTTGACATGAGTATTTTCCAAAGTCAGGGAACACTTGAACGTATAGCTACTGCATCAAACAAACATCAAAACAGAACTGCAGAAATCTATCCACGGCATAAATCAGCTCTGGTGGACTATGTAAATGAGCCCATGGAGTAGGTGTATGTGCACATATAAACTGCATGTGTATCATGTATCGAATTCGAATTGGTTTTCACAATTTGGGGAATTTAAAGGGTTTATACCTGGTAATGATGGTAAGAATACAATAAATGGAGATGGTTATGACAATGCCACAGCCAAAGGGCATTCCAAACTCATCTTACACTCGTGTGCATGCTTTCTCTCCCTTGCTCAATCTCCAGAAAAGATCCAAACTCAATGTGTATGCTTGAAGCTTCCAAAGATTGCATTCTTCTCTCGGTTTATAATGGGATGCAAGAAACCGAAATAGATGAGAGGGGTGTTATGGAAAGCTTACTAAACAACAGAATTCCATAGAAAGGAAGCTTGTCTTGGGCCTTCTCCTTTTGATAAATATTAAAAAATAAAGTTTGTAAAGGTCCCTGATGGAACGAGCCCCCATTTGGGGGTTGAGGATAGCTCAGTGAACAGCTATGTTCTAAGTTTAATACTCTTCCTGAAGCTTCTGGCATGCAGAATACCCCTCTTCCTGGAGATCAACTCTCTAATGAAGGTGCTGACCAGATGGAAGTGACAAGCTTGCAGTGGGAGGTCATTTATATCTAGTGACTGGCCAACAGCAAGAAGGTTTGAATCTTATATTCCTGTGAGCAGCTGCACTCTCAGAATGCAGATAAAAAGGGACAAGTCAAACAAAGCCACACTAAGGGCTAGCACTAAACCAGTGCCAGAATGATAGCCACTCCCTGGTGATTAAACTGGATAGCATGTCCCATTTTTCAGGCCTCTTGGGCACCAGATGAATCATATCAAAGTGGCAAATGGTCAATGCTGGCTGGACAAGATGGGAAACGCTCCCCATCACTGAATATGGCATGAAACAGTCATTTTCTACACAGGTAAGTAAGACACCTGTAATAGTTTAGGCCAGAAATATGAAACGATTCTTTCAAGTTTACTAGTAATTTATTTTTACTTTAAGCTGATGCTCAAACAGGTTAACTCACCACATGTTAACATGCCATTTCCAGAGCATACAATTACATAATAAATAAAAGGGTATCCTCAAAAGACAACAGAGAATTTCGGTGTGCACATCACGTTTTATGCCACACATCACTGTGCCTGTTTATAGATAGCACACATGTTGTACACATCTGATGTACCTGCACCGATGTATCAGACATTACTTAAAGAACAGGTAGCACCAAGAGTTACACACACAGTGCAGCCAGTACTAACTGACCTGTGTTTGCTGTCCAGTAAAGGTTACAATTACCAGACAAGTCACTGTTATGGTTTCCACCTCGGTACTAAAATTAGAAACTATTCATCAATCCTTGGCAAATGAAGCACCAAAGGCAGTGCAAATGGACTAGTGATGATAGGACCATCTTATCCACACAAATCCTCAAATTGGAAACTTATTTCTTTGTTAGTTCTTAAAAATTAAAACTGATTTTCATTGCCGTGGTCAGTTTTAAGCAACCAGATGAAAAGAAGCAAACTCAACATCAGTACTTGAAACACCTGTTATATAATCACCAGATCTTATTCACAATGTTGCCTGGTCAATATTTTTATATTATGACAAAATAGATGGCATTTCTGATAACTGTAACTGGTGTCGTACAATCTCAAAGGTCCATCCACAGTTGCTAAAGATGGATGCACTTGAAAAGAAAACCAAGTTAGCAAGCTCATTAGGTCCCATTGGCATTTATTTTTTAAAAGATACTTCATATTTTTATCTGATTCAAATATTCAGGAAGTCACCTGACCTTTGCCTTTTCAGAGGACCCACAATGAGAACTAGAGTAAATCCAAGACCACCAACACTTAAGGTCTAAGAGCATAATTTGCTTGACTGGCAGTACTTAAACAGCCTCTCATGAATGTATATACACAGGATGCACCAATTTCCTGAAGTGCCTGTCACTCACTTCCGCTCTGTGAGGCAGTTGAGCCAGTGTCTTCTCACAGGTGGTGACAGTAAGAAGGCCACGGCAGTTGACTGGCTATCAGGCTAAGTGAATCCTTCTACTTTGAGCTTTGAAAGTTTAGCAAATGGGGCTGAAATTTATGTAGAACTCTAACACCTAGAATGAACACCAAGCTATGAGCTTATGGCAATTACAAATCAGAATGTAGGAGACTACTGAACTTCACAAAGGTATTCAGGATAGACCTTGAGGAAACTCTGCATGTACATAAAAGTGAGACACCACAGGACGTGGAAAACAGTAGAAACTTAGCGTGGATTGGCATCTGATTTTTAGTTCTCTAGACTATTGAGGTTATAAAGTAAATAATGTAAAGCATATTTTTTCCTTGGGTTACTTTTCTATTAATTAACCAAGGTATTTTTTATTTTATTTATTTATTTATTTATTTATTTATTTATTTATTTATTTATTTTTTGCTGTTCTGCACTGCAGGCTCTATGCCTGTTGCAAAAGATAATAAGAACTAAAAACAATATATGGTCCTGTTTTATAGCATCCGGATGCTATATGAACAATCAGCCTAGCCATTAAGCAGTTGCAGTAACATAATTTCAATATTCAAATTACAAAGAGGCCATAAGACAGGTGGAGTTTGTTACCTCATGGATAAACGCCACACTCACTGTCACTTCCTAAAAGCTGCATTTCCAAGCAGTATGTATTTTCATGGTTAGGCTAATATATCTAATTTATATGTGTCTGTACACCATGCCACATGTGCACTGGGATGTGTGTACTGAGCAGTAGTTTACAATCCTGACAACTAACAAGTTTTTTCTTCCTTTGTTTGAAGACAAAACATTTTTTGAATAGCAAATTATAACCATACACTTGTAATCAATTTCTCAATTGTTTCTTGTTCCACCAAAATAATAATTTCAATTAAAACTTGCCTCTTCCTGGAGTAAACTCAAATCGTATGTCATTAAGTTCCTTTCTGGAGTTTCTGAAACACATAACATAAAGCACATTAAAATCTAATGAGGCAGAGTTTAATCAAACCAAATTACTCCCAATTTTTATAAGATGCCAGTAGCGTGGAGACAGCATTTTATAGTTTTAGGTTACCTCCAAATATTTCCTCAAGAAGAAGATACAGTTATTAAGTGAATACAACAATTAAGTGAAGAGATATATTTGATGGAATTTATCTTACATGAACATGCTGATAACAAGAAATTCTCAAAACAAAATGCTAATTTTATAAAATCCTTATTACCCAGAAAGCTTAACACTAATTTCAGAATACACATTTTTAGAAGCCTTTAGTGTAAATGGTATTGTTGGCATTTTTCATATTCCCCCAGACAGTAGTATTTTAGTAACAGAATTTTAAAATAAAGCATCAAGGAAGACAGACTCGTAATGAGTTGAGGTGAGGCATTACACATTACATCATACAGAACAACAACAGTAAGGTACATCTGTTGTTAAAAGTCTTTTCTAAATTCAGATATGTCTAAATGTTGCAAAATTTCCCAATGAATAATAAACTTTATGTAAGATACAGAAAATTGTAAAATAGATACATGAATATGTATTCAATAAAAATGAATGAGTCAAAATCTAATAAATAATTTTCTCATTCCTATGATGTTCAAGTAATGACGAGAACTGGAGAGAGATAAACACACACACACACACACACACACACACACACACACACACACACACACACACACACACACACATATAAATAAATCAGTAACAACACCAGAAGTAACCAGCTTGAAAAGCAAGAACACAATTGTTAGATTCAGGGGTTTAGAATGTAGAATACAGAAACAGAGATGTCCAAATTCATGCTCCTGAACATGCCCTGGTTCCTGCCACGCATAACTAAGCAGATTTACCAAATACACAAATTCTCAGTTTTGTCTGATATCTTCTGGACACTGTACAAAGTACAACAATGCTGATGCGTTCTCTGAACCCCTTAGTCTACAGCCATCCCCTTTATTTTCTGGATTATCAACTCCCACCACACTAAGTACAAGGCCAGGAAGCTGGAAAGGACCTTGTATCCACTTAAAGAAAGTCTTCCTCACTGCCTAGAAAAACCTAACCCACATCAAATACCAATCCACAAGGCACAAAGGGCAAAATAAGAGTGCAAGAACTCAAGTTCAAATATTGAGAGGCTTGAATCTAGAAATCTGCATCTGCCCTGGGTTTCATCATCTGGATTTTGCCACTAACCTTTTAAGGGCTGAAGTCTTACAGCATGCATACATACATACATACATACATACACATACATACATACATACATACATACATACATACAATAACTGTGGAAATTTAGAAATCATTTTAGAACTAGTTTATCATTTTAGACTTCAGACCCAATAAAAATGTTTATATTCTTCCATTTATTTGAAAGAAAAACCATTAACATTCCCAATTTTAATTCAAGCACTCTATAAATAAGTACTTTCTGACTTCTGACTGAGGGCTTAGCTCTACAATAGAGGGCTTGCTTGCCTAACATGTGTGCGGCCTTGGTTTTGGTCTCAAGTACAAAAATAAAAGTAATCCTAAAAGAAAAATAAATGCAAGAGCAAACTGAATTGTTCTATATTTTCGAGAGCCTCTGTAGTATTAGTTTCACATAAATGAATATTTATAGTTGACCCACTGCACTATATCACATCATATGAGGAAAAATTCCAGCAATCATGTATGTATAAAAGAATGAATGAAGAAGTAACTAATTTCTTGTGCTTGGATTCTTTCTGTCCCAGCCATCAGTTCCTGAAGCCACTTGTGAAATAACTCTCTGAAGCTTAATATGTCTGGCCAATGGCTCCGATATATTACTGGCAAGCTCTCTCTTACAAATTAACCCATTTCTATTTCTATTTCTGTGTGTTGCCACAAGGCTGTGGATTACTGGTAATGCTCCAGCATGTGACTCCTTCAGCAGCTACATTATGTCTTCCTCTATACCTTCATTCTCTCTGAATCTTTGTTTGGATTTCCTGCCTAGTTATATTTTATTTGCCATTGGCCAAGACAGCTTTATTCGTCAATCAATAAAAGCAATGCATATTCACAGCGTACAGAAGGATACCCCATATGAATTTCTTAATATAATGAAATAGTTTTACCGTCATAAACTCTAGAGGGAACCTGTGAACACCTAGGATCATTTAACTATATACATCAAGTAACACTGGCTTCTCTTCTGTATTTATGGGTTTTTGTATCCTCTGAATCAACCAACCACAGGTCAAGTTCACAGTGAAAAGTGAGCCTACATAGTGAGCATACATTTTTCTGTTCATACAGAAGTACGTTCTCTGAACAATGTAATAATCACTTGCATAATGACTGCAGTGCATGAAGCGTAATCCCTCTAGAAATATATTGTTATAAAGAGGAAAGAGGCAAAGTAGAATAGGAGGATTAAATGAGGGGACGGAGGCTGAGCGGGCAGGGTAAAGGAGGGAATAGGGGAGGGACCACTAACAACACTAAAGGCCTTTTGAAAAGCCATATGGAAATATATATATATATATGTATATATATATATATATATATATATATGAATGTAAGTGAATTCATTATGTAAAGGGGAGGCAATGCCCCAACTAGAAGCTTCTTCCCAATGACTATTATTCAGAGTGCTGGAAGTCACTTTGCATGCCATCAAAGGAGAAAGAGAATCATCAGTTATCACCAAGCTACAAACCTTTGATGTACAGCAACAACTTGCCTAGAAAATGTACTGGTTCAATAGTGGCACAGATGTTAGAGTAGTAACTAACCACCTCTTTGTTGGATTTAAGGCACACTCTAAAAGATGGTACTAAAGTAGCTATGGAAGTAAGACTAGACAAGTGATGGGCCCAATGGGAAACCCTACTATTATTATTCTGTTAAAGAAACACAGCAATAAAATGAACCATATTGACATGTTGATCTATTCATAGATCGATGCATCAGCATTCAACCCTCATCAGAGAAGGTTCATCTTGGCAGTAGACAGTAGTTAACGCAGAGACCCACAACTGAACTATGTGCAGAGAGTAAAAAACTTTCGAGCACTCAGCCTTAAATGGGATGTCATTATCAAACTCCTCCCCTCAGGGAACAGGGATCCACATAGAAGAGGAACTGGAAAGGCTGTAAGAGCCAGACATGGTGGATGACTCCAGGGGAGCAGTGTCTTCTAGATACAACAGGACTGATACACATATGAACACACAGAGACTGTGACAGAATGCACAAGATCTACTCAGTTTCAAGCCAGACAAAATCCCAGGATGGAGGAGGGAAAGTAAACACAGAGTCCCACCCTTAACCAAGAAACTGGGAAAGAGAAAAATCAGTTTTCTTCAATGGAGTGACACTGAGTATATCAACCACTCTAGAACAGGCACTATGCCAACACAAAACAGACTTTAAGGTTGTTTTTGTGTGTGAAATTTTTGCTGTTTTTCTCTTATTTGTTTTGTGTGTGGCATGTGGGGGAGAGGGGAAGGAAGGGAGGGACGGAGGGAGGAGAGAGGGAGAGAGAGAGAGAGAGAGAAATGAGCTTCTGTGAGTATAGGGGATCTGAGAGAAGTTTAAAAATAAAAATTATTCTCAAAAGAGTGTAACAACTAATTATGATATATATATATATATTATATATATGTAATCATGTTGTATTAATCATTAAAAGAAATCCAGAGATCTTTTAAGCTATGTTGGAAGATGTCATATAGAGCCTTCACCTAGTAGCTGATGGAAGCAGAGCAGAGATTCACAGCTAAACACTGAGCCCAACTCCTGGAATCCAGGAGAGAGGGAGGAGTGATGTGCAGAGGGGTCAAGACCATGCAAGGGAAACCCACAGCTGACCTGAGCAAGTGGAAGCTCATGGGCCCCAGTCTGACAGCTGGGGAACCAGAATAAGACTGAACCAGGCCCCCTGAATGTGGATGTCAGTTGGGGGGCCTGGGCTGTCTAAGGGGCCTCTGGCAGTGGAATCAGTATTTATTCCTAGTGCATAACTACATAACTACATTCAGTGTCTCCCTTGTTTAGAAGTTTAATGAGTGGCAGAGTAAGGACAAACAATTCTATATGGGAAACAAGTCATTTCACTTTCATGAGAAAGCCACATCCTTCAAGATTATGGATGTTACTAAATAATCACCCAAAACTCATTAACAGTCTTGGTTATGGATGATATATATATATATAAGTTAAAGGTAAATTAAAAATAATCTAGAAAGAAAAAAGGATCAAAGAAAAAGGATCACTAAGAAAGGAAGAACTAATATTATATTTAATAATGAAATGACCCAAGGAGAAAAAAAAATAAAGGCACTTGGTTCAGTGTTAATTGGTGTCATTGCTCCTTTCTCATCGGATCGGTTTTGTTTAAATTAGTTTTTTCTACTCAGGCCATGGCAAGAGAAGTGTATGCATGAGCTGCACCCAGAATATCATCAAGAACATCCTTATTTTTTAAATATTAATATCACAAAAGCAATAATCCACCCTCTTAATCCCCACCGACATCAACTGCAGTTTGCCTCTGCAAGTCACTCTTTATGATGATGAACCTAAGTCTCACCTTTGAAAAGGTCACTGTGATTGATTGTAAGTAGTAGACTTGTCCCATCAAGATGATATATACTTGGAAAAATGCCTAATTGGATCTAACTACTGAAGGTCGTCCTTTTATAAAGAATTAATCTTTTCAGCCTCATACTTACACCTTTAATTGAAAGTACATTCACTTTAATTGATATGGCAGAGTAGACTCCTGATTTCGGGGAAGTTGAAGACAGAGATGGTTTAAGGACAAAAATAGTCTGTGCAGCTTTACAGTGGAAATAGTTCTAGGCCCAGGCTGCTGCTGCTGCTGACTGTCACTGAAAACCTCCTTACCCCATTTGGTAAAGCAAAACTCCTTATTCCTCACTGTAGGCACACACTGTCTCACAAATG